AAATTTAAGGGGGTCTGAATACTTTCCGTACCCACTGTATGAAGAAAGTGTTTTATTTTGGACAGTGACTGGACAACATGCAATGACATTAACAGAAAGCATTGCTATGAGGTTAGTTGCGTTAACACTTTGTAATGGCGGAAAGTGACTGGCACCAGTGCAAAAAGTGACCCCAGACACCACTACCACCCAACAGCCAGGCAGGAGATTGCAGGGTCTTAATTTCAACATCGATGGCATCTCTCACATTCAAGGTTCAATATGTGTGTTTTTGTTTTTCATGGCAGTGAACAGAGTGGCTGGAGCATGTGTGGTAGACACAAACTACCTCAAGCACACAAAGGTAAACTAAATCTAGTCTGTGACTGATTATTTGCCAAAAATGTTAATGATTAGTATTAACAACAGGTCATCTACATAGCCCACACCGCAAGACTTTTCTCCACAGCGAGTGAACGACTGCTCCCATGCAGAAGGAGTTAATGAGGTGTTAAGATCTGATGATTAAATCCCTGAAGGAATAAACATTAGTGGAAAAAACAAAGACTCAAGAAACCCGTTCAATCACACGGCACACAAATTCAGCCTGTGGAACTTACCTTACATTTCAACATCACACAAATTTTCTATCTGAGATCCACTTGATAAAATCTGAATTTTCAGATAGCAGCATGGCTCCTCATGTAGCATCTGCATCACCTTTCTAATGTAATACTTACAGTTGTGAAAACACAAACTGTACATATTCAGCTTGATTTTCATTTTTCAAGTGGCGAGGCAAAAAAAAAAAAAAAAACCTCTGTTCTTAACGGTACAATATTAAAAACTGGGAGTAAAACATTTATGTAAGCATGTGAGTAACACTATACCTGTTTAGCAGCAGTTCAGACAGTATAAGGGTCAGTTAAAGTGCTACCGATATTGCTGTGGACTTCAAATTACTTTTTTAAGCCAACCTGCACTAGGTCTGCTGTGGTCCAGTGTAACTGTATTAATGTCATCAGTGACAACGGCCAAAAGTAAGACGCTACACTTACCCTTCGTAATCATGGCGGTTGTGATGCACCTTAATGAAAATGCAAGCACCTGCAGCGATGAGGACGAGCAGAAGTAAAGCACCAAAGACTGCTCCAATTATTAGGGTAGTGTTGTTCTGAGGAAGAGACTCTGGACACACACATTCAGGGTGGGTTAGAAAATATCAAATCGATATTTACAACAACAGTAACAATTAACTGTTCAACTGATAAATAGTATGTACAGTCAAAGGATTTTTAATCTCTCAAACTGATTTCATGAGTTCAAAATCCTCTAGAGTCGTTTCGGTAAATTTTTGTAACTTTCCACGCATTTATTTTTTTGCTTTGTTTGGCACATTTAAAACTGTCTTTTTCCAAAATGCACGGTATCCTTTTCGTTCAGGCACAAATCAGCTACACTGTGCAATCAGCATGTGTATAGTTAAAAAGCATCTTAGCAGCCTGAACTGATTTTAACTGCAGAAAAAAACGGTGATAAGCACATCTGAATCAGCATTCGATGGACTGAGGTGTATCAGTTTGAAAAGAAATCTGAATATCCACCTTTCAGCACAACCCTGAGCTCTGTTCGCGCTGGTGTTCCCGTAACATCTGGTGGGTTCTTCACGTCGCAGAAGAAGGTACCATTGTCACTGAACTGAGCTGGACTCAGCTGTATTGAGACGTCCCTCTTGTTGATGTCTCCAATAAACTGCACTCTGTCTTTGAATTCTTCTGATCCTGGGAATCCTTTCCCACTGGAAAAGTAGAAAATCTACAAAGGGAAACAAAACCGTTTTAAACTGTGTGTACTGGAAATTCATCTTAAAAATAAAATTTGTCATTATGCTTCAGTTATTCAGGAAATCTCACTGAGATCATAATCTCTTTGCCAAAGAGACCTGAGATTAAATAAACACATGATCACAACAATAACATTCACCTACTCAAAACAACAATTACACACAGGACCAGACATAACAAAACTGTCACAAAGATTATTAGAAATATACACTGGTAAAGCTTTCAAATCTCTAGAAGGAAATGACTGCCTCCAACATGAAGCTCATTCCAGGACTAAAGTGCACAGTACTGGAAACCAGACTACTTGGTATCTGTCATGATTATGAGCTTTGAGATCAACTAAGGATATTAAGTATCTTGTATTTAATATGTAGAGCTATTGTGTACGAGCATAGAGTAAACATAAAAACACATAAGAGACCGTTTAAAGTGCAAAAGATTGAAAGTCTCTTCATTAATTTTATATCTAATGTACTAATAAATGCTAGGCAGGAAAATTTTTATTTTAGTTTTTTTATTTCACGAGGAAAATCCCACTGAGATTAACAACCTCTTTTACAAGACAGCAGCAAAGTTAGTTCCAGACAAGACAAAAACAAACACTAAAACAGATAATGCACAAAATCCACAAGAGCAAGAACAGAGTGATTATAAAACAATATCAAAACTAAAACTAAAATTAAAAGGGTTAAGAACAAAACTGTATTCATAAAACAGCATTGTTTAAAAATGAAACTGTGACCTACTGTATAGTGAAACCATGTGATCTCTATGAGCATAAAGCCTGGAAACAGCTGAAGCCTTTGTTCATTTGTCATTACACATAAAACAATCGCAGGCAAACGTCCTGAAGCTGTGGGAAACCTTCCCAAACAACAGGATATAACCAGCAAGGACTTACCACGTACGGGGCTTTGGAGAACCGACTGTCGGGCTGACTTGACTGAAAACTCCAGGTCACTGAGGTGGCGCTGCTGACCACTTCACTGGACTTAAAGGTACATCGCAGTGTTCCTGTGGTGCCATTCTGCATCATCACTTCAGGGTCGGCATATATGTCGATTGCGGATGTAAACTTAGTGACTGTTTTAAAAAAAAAAAAAAAAAAGAGGGAATAAGAATATGCTTCTTTCTATTAGGTATGGTCTAGTGGGATGTGGAAGACTGTGATGAATGCTTTATGAAAGAATGCAATGCAACATAACTCAGCCTCACCATATTAACTATATGTATCACCCTGCATTAAAAAGAACACATTGATAAAGCACTAGTGAGACAGTGATAATCAAGGACATCAAGCATCACAGACACATGGCCTTGCTATCTGTTTTCACAACAAGAGGATGTGAGAAAGCAAATGCAACAGAAGCACAAAGCATCTTCTGAGATCTGATTTGGCCTAATCAAAAGAAACAGAGATTTACAATTCACGGACAAGTGTTAAATAAAAATGACAAAAACTGTTATGGCAGATATAAAGATCATTTCATAGTAAGAAATGGAAGGAAGCGTTTATCAACCAGATGTTATCAGTCTGAGATACAAAGCAGAAAACAGACCAAGTCATTACTGTCTGCCAAATGATTAATATAAATCTGTTTATTTTAAGACAAACTGAACAAAATCACAGAACGTTACATAAAGCTGTGTTTCTGCTTATATCATTACGTGCATGATTATATATGACGGTGACGGTAACAGTCTGGATCAGAAAGGGTTAGGTTTTGGACGCTAAACTAGTCAAGGTAGAAAATCGGGCTACGTTGGTACTGTCTTTGAACAATGTGATAATAAAATATAGCCATTATTGCTGATAATAATAATAATTTATTCAAATTATTACTGTGAATAATGTTAATCTGCGGGGCTAGTTAGCCTAGTGAGTAATTACCCCCTAGGCGACACGTAGCTTTAGTTACTGTGGAGACTCTCATCTGACGAAACCTTAGTCAAAAATCTGGTACTTTAACGTGGCCTTATTTGCTGCCCAAACTACCTGCATGATAGCACCTACTTGGACAGGTTTTCTGTATTTATTGGAAGACACGATTCGATTCGGCATACATCAAAAACACTAAACATTCAACATTTTGGCAAAACACTGATGTGTACCAACTGGTTAGCTTCTACTTCCAATGCTGGTTCCACCGTCACCGTCCACAGAACGCCACCACCCTGTACCAACCTTCATTCAGATATTAGTAAATTTAACTAACGTTATTCTTGAACAGCTTTAAATAACGTTATATCGGTATGTGCCCAAGGACGGTCTAACTATTCGCTAACGTCTCCAAGAAATGTATCCGGTTGTGTTAAATATCTTCCATAGCTATGAGGGCGAACAAAGAGTGGCTACATTAATTAGCGATACTGTGATTTGAGGTTAGGGGTGTAGTTAGGTAACTCTCCCGACATAAGATGCAGATAATATCGCTAGCTAGCTAACCTGATATCCGACCTGACATAATGAGCTCAAATTTCCAAATTGAAATTTAAAACAAGTTAGGCTTCAACACTCACCTAATAAAACACATAGCGTAAATCCAATCAATAAAACACGTTTGTAAATGGCTTTCGACCATTTTGGCTCCATTATGTTGTTGTAAACAGGAGTAGATCCTCTCCTTTTTTCCACCCTCTATCGTCCTAGTCGTTTCTTCTTCGTGAGACGATTTAGCGGTGGAGTGCGACCACTGCCCCCTACAGGCTCACCAGTACGTTGATGCTTGCAGTTGTAGTATGGCTTATTACTGGCCAAAATATATGGAAAACAACCACAAAGCGACACAAACGTCTAACAATAAATAATAATAATAACTTGACACAAAATGTCTATATAAACCATAGATGCAAAACGATTAAAATAGATTCAGAATGACTAAAAAGAAACTCAAAAAACACAGGTACAAAGAGATGACTAAAAAGAGGCAAAACTGGGTGAATATAGATGCGAAATGAGAATGAGAGTGGTAAATGACCAAAAAAAAAAAAAGATGGAAAAAGACACAAAGCAGCAACAAAAGTAAGATGTAGTGAGGAAAATTCAAATATATTGACTTTCTTTGAAATATTTCACATGATGTGATTAACCATGTTTTTATTATTTATGTCTGTGGTGGAAAAATACAGTCCAGATATGTATTTTGACCTGATCTGAGTGGATGATACTTTGACTTAGTCTATGCTTGTTTTTCTTTTAATATGTACCGAATTATAAAAAAAAAAAGGCTTTTGTAACAACATCTAACATTTGATGCCTGACTGTCCAAGTGTGAAGATTGTAGTGTCTCAGTGACTTGAGATACACTTACTGTAAACTGGTCCTACTGGAAGTTGTTATTCAGAGGAAAGGCTATGACCTTGCCCTCACTGCAGTTAGGTTAGGCTGATGGTGAAAGAAATGGTTTGGAGTCTGTTTCCTGGACACAAAATAAATATACTCATTTAAGTCAACAAAGACTGACCAGATTAAAAAATATATATGTATATATACACTGTAATGAAACATGACTAATGTTGAATGGTATAACTAGTTTGCTTAATCAAACAGTAGTGTGCTTTTCTTACTCTTTCTCTCCCTGTGTGACTGGGAAAATACAGCATGCCAGAAAGTACAAAGGTCCAGTTGCAACAACTGCAAAACCTGGTATTTAATAAGCAAGAGTGAGCTTTGAATCTCTAGGACCCGATAGAGAAAAAAGAAAGTAGCTAGAGTTGGTATGCAGTATAAATGATAAAAGACAAAGAGGAGGACAGAGACAGGGGTGAAAAGACTTTTTTGTCCTTGTGTGTCCAGGCTTAAAGATTCATAAACTGTGGCAATGCTGCAAAGAGTTGAGTCTGAATCCTGTTTCATGGCCTGGCTGAGATTTGCCATGATGCTCTACCTCAACCAAATTTTCTCAAATTATACAAATTAATAAATAAGATTTGATAGTACAATAGCACACACAGGGGAGTCCATCATAGTGAGTAAGTAAATATGCTACATTGGTGCTAACAGCCAATATTCAGCATTGAAATTTTTCATGGCACAAAAGCCCCCAGAATTACAAATATTTAAGACTTGGAGATTTTATTTCTGTTGTTGTGAAATAGCATCTACACCTTCATTAATTTGAACCCATGCTGATACAACCACTGTAGGTGGAGCCATGATGGTCTGGCAGACTACAACACTTGTAGCTGATTTATTATAAATTTGTTTTGTTAAAAAAAAGGTATAAACTCCACCAAAATGGATCTGGAGTGGGAACTTTAAACTGGATTTGGTAAAATTTTTTGCTAAATGTCACTGTCAACAAACAAAAATATCAGCCTAACCCTAGTGTAGATCTTATGTAAAACATGTATGATAACGTTATTGTGATTCATAAAATAGAATGATAAAAGCTGCCTCTGAAAGCTCAGACTGTGCACTTGAGTCAGTTTTATGTGGAAATAAAATGTTAAGGTGCAAAAACAAAATCATACAAACAAAAAAAAGTCCCATTATTTCTGCAACAAGACTTTTAAACACAAATCATCATCATTATGCTTAAGGTGCAAGAACTTATGGTATAGTTTACATGTATAGTCATTATAAAAACTGTGGGGAAACAGTTCATCCACAACACACCTCCTACAAGTCATAGTCATATTTATACCCAATATTTAGACTGTGCCCACAAATTTGGGCTATAGCACTTTATTTGTTGTGGTGGGTAGCAGTACACAGTGTGAGCTTTCAGAGTGTCACACTTTTACTTCCAATCTGATCAGAAATTCTCATTTTAATGTCTCCTTCAATCATCTGTGGGATTCAAACATTTTTGCAAAAAAATAAAAAAAAAATCCAACAAAGTTAGATAAGAAATTACTCAGTAAGAATCAACTCTTAAGCATGACCCCACTAAATTAGTTAATGTCTGTGAGAATCATCAGAGAGTAACCCTCGTATTAATGCTGAATGGGCCACAAATTTAAATCATTACTGTAATAGACAATATATTAGAAGGACATTAAAATGTCACAAATAAAATTAAAACACACCAAGTCAATGTAATAAGGCCTTCATGTCTAAAATTCACGCTGTAAAAGTTTTACTTTAAGTTTTCACACAGCCCATCAACAGAAGGTTGCCTGTCACTACAGCTCGGACCAGTTTGCCGACACATCCGTAATACCTCAGTGAATTTACACACACTGCATGAATCTATCATAAATATCAACTCAAAGGTATCTACAGTATAGACATATGCAACATAAGAAAAATGTAATATATGCAAGTTAAAAAAACAGCAATCAGCATGCCCTTAATGCTGCTGTATATATGAGTATATACTGTGTTTACATTGAAATACAAAGAGAATCCCTCCTTCCATCCATTTGAAGAATATTTTCTTACAATAAGAGAAAATCCATTCAGCCTCATATTGTCAATAAAACCATATTTGCAGCCTGATGTGCCCAACCATTTCAAATGAGTGCATTACATCTGAGTCAAAACAGACCATGACTGCTAGGAAATGATTCACATGGTTTGAGTTAGAACACAAACTGACTGGGGTTCTCAAAATCATTCATTTTCTCTATCTGCACATTAAAAAGCAAAGTTTCAGACTGGTTGGTGCAATCTCTCTGGTGCTATTGTGGTGACTATTATTTGACATTTTTGGTCAAAATCTCTACTCTTATAAGCAACAGCATAGTCTTTTTTTCAATGTAGCTATAACTACTCAAAATGATAGTTCTGTTTTGACAAACTCGAACACTGGGTGCACAGTAGCAGCCTGAACATAAGTGTGGGCGCATAACAGCTGATAATGTACCACCTCTTGAGTTGTGTAACAGTTTGTGGTTGCCAAGATCAGTCAAATATGTAATGAAACCTGAAAACATGAAGCCTCATGCTCAAACTGATTGAAAATCAACTAACAGGATTTCACAGTCCTGCATTTATTGCATTAGAAAAGAATTGGCAGGGGAATGGGCAGCTCTGTCCTGTACCAGTGTAGAGCTGCAGTGTAGCTGCTTAATGAATGTGGTATCCTGCCACGCCCTGCCTCAGAGTGGTTAAAGTCCTACTCTTAATCAAATTATTATAAAGCACACAGCACAACTGCTCATTTCTTGTAAGGCCTCAGGATGCTTCAAATCACTTGTCAGATCATCTAACAGCACATGAAGCCCCCTTCCATCAGCTGAGGTGACAACTTTTGGAACTTTCCAGAACAGACAATATGACAATCGTGCCCACTTTACGCAGCAATTGGCCACGAGCAAGAAAGCTGTGATGCTAAGCAAGGTTTGAACTTCTCTCTTCCACAATTTATTGCATTGAGACCACAAAGACACACAAGTTCTTGAGAAGATATAGAAAAGGTATCAACACTTTCAACTGTCTTGCAGAAATTATATCCATATAAAAGTAATTTGCAAACAGCAAATGCATTTAGAAAGAAATGTAACAGTGAGTTAGGTTTTCCACTAACTTAATGACAAAATGTTAATTGATACTGAACATTTGAATGTTTACAGATAACTGTTTTCCAACAAAGTCGCTGATCTTGCAGTTCAGTACCTACTTGTAGTTACTACAGTGGTACTAAACTGATGTATGCAGATTCACAAGACTTGTTTAAGGTAAGGGGCAGGTCATGGTCTGGTGTAACACAGAAACAGGTCACACTGGCTTTGACACTGTTTGAAGCAAACTGAAGCCTTTAAGCCAACTTCTATTTTTCCTATTTGCTTTGGGCAGCCAATTTAATTTTCTCACAGGGATTAATAAAACAGTCCTATCACATTCAGTGGCATGTCATCTGTCCAAAACGTTCTAATGGCTCCCAGTAATTAGTTAACCTTTAAGGTTGCATTATGCTTGAAAAGAACTAGTCTATATGATGTGTTACTGGAGATCTGAAGGGTTTGTGGCTGTTCCATACAGCCACAGTCAAAGGTGTGGTGAAAATCTGGCCGTCACATAGAGGGGGGAGATGTTATAATACAATAAAATGAACACCTTCAAAGTGTGCTGTCATTCTCATTGGTAAGATGTTAAGGGTTCGGATTTGTAAGCATTGTGTTAAAAGCACATAGAATTGCAAAGATGATGGAGGTTGTGGGATGCAACCAGGAATAACTACAGCCTTTTCATCCCACCCTTAAGTGTGGCCATTTGGAACAGATATAAACACTTTTGCCTTCAAATGTTATCAGAAGACACGCTGAACAACCTGGCTCATTTTGAAGCATACTAAGGAATTAAGATCGATATCTAAGCGTGGAGTTCTACTAGAAAACTGCTCCAAACAGAAAAGTGACAAGCTGGCTGCCACAGAGAGAGGAGGGAGAACGTAAACATATCTGACTTCAAACA